ATGATGCTGGGTTAATTGGCAAGCCACATGTAGGAGAATGAAACTGGATCCTCATCTGTCACTTTATACAAAAATCAACTCAAGATGGATCAAGGACTTAAATCTAAGACCTGAAACTATAAAACTTCTAGAAATAACTTTGGAAAAACCCTTCTAGATATTGGCTTAGGCAAGGATTTCATGACCAAGAACCCAATAGCAAATGCAATAAAAACAAAGAAACATAGCTGGGACTTAATTAAACTAAAGAGTTTTGAACAGCAAAAAGAACAGCAAGCAGAGTAAACAGACAACCCACAGAGTGAGAGAAAATCTTCACAATCTATATATCTTACAAAGGACTAATATCCAGAATCTACAATGAACTCAAACAAATTAGCAAGAGAAAACAAGCAATCCCATCAAAAAGTGAGCTAAGGCCATGAATAAACAATTCTCAAAAGAAGATATATAAATGGCCCATAAACTTATGAAAAAATGCTCAACATCACTTATGATCAGGGAAATGCAAATAAAAACCACAATGTGATACTACTTTACTCCTGCAAGAATGGCCATAATCAGAAAATTTTTTTAAAAAAGTAGATGTTGGTGTGGATGTGATGAACAGGGAACACTTCTACACTGCTGATAGGAATGTAAACTAGTACAACCACTATGGAAAACAATGTGGAGATTACTTAAAGAATTAAAAGTAGAACTATCATTTGATCCAGCAGTCCCACTACTGGGTATCTACCCAGAGGAAAAGAAATTTTTCTATGAAAAAGATATTTGCGCACACATGTTTGTAGCAGCACAATTAGCAATTGCAAAAATGTGGAACCAACCCAAATGTCCATCAGTCCACTAACGGATAAAGAAATTATGGTAAATACATACAATACAATGATACTCAGCCATAAAGAGGAATGGATTAATGGCATTTGCAGCAACCTGACTGAGTTTGGAGACTATTGTTCTACGTGAAGTAACTCAGGAATGGAAAACCAAATATCGTGTTCTCACTCATAAGTGGAAGCTAAGCCATGAGAATACAAAGGCAAAAGGGTGATACAATGGACTTTGGGACTTGGGGAAAGGGTGGGAAGCGGACAAGAGATAAAAGTCTACAAATTGGGTGCAGCGTGTACTGCTCCGGTGATAGGAGTACCAAAATCTCGCAAATCACCACTAAACAACTTACTCATGTAAGGAAACCCCACCTGTTCACCAATAATCTATGGAAAAACACATTATGGGAATGATATCTCAAAGACATCTGCAGTTTCCAAATGGATAACTTGTTTTAAGAAGGGACTGCAGGTCAAATATTTGAAATGGGTGTTACTAGGATGACATCATCAGTAGGACTTGCATATGCAGGCTCTAAGGAAGAATTTACTTCCTTTCTTCTTCTAGAGGTGGCCTAAATTTCTTGTCTCCTGCTCTTCTTCCAGCAATCCCATCACTCCCATCTCTGCTTCATCATTACAACTCCTCTCACTCTCCCACCACCCTCTCTCACTTGTAAGAATCTTTGTTATTACACTGGGCTCACTCAGACAATCCAGGATTATCTCATCTTCTCAAGATCCTTAATAACATCTACAGAGTTCCTTTGGCCATGTAAGCTAGCATATTCATAGGTTCTGGGAATTAGAATATATAAACATCTTTGGGAGAAGAGGGGCTTATTCTACTTATTGCAAGAAGCATTAAAATCCAAACTACACAAGTAAAATGTGTGGGTGGATCTGATCTCAAGTATCGTGAAATGCTTGCTTGTATTCTTGGAGGAGAGATTAGAGATAATAATTAGCTTTAAGTATTGGCATTCTAGGCGTGGTAAAAATGTAATGTATTTCACAAAAATCAATGACTTGAATAAAGAGATTTTTAAAAATTGATTAATCAGGTACAAGAGGAAAGAAATAACAAAAAAGAGTCAAGAATATCATAGAAAATAATATTAAAATGATACATTCAAAAATATCTAATACAAATTAAAAGAACAAAATTATCATTATGTTACATGAACAGATATAGTCAAACAAAATTAAAAACAAGTAAAATAAATTTTTCGTAAAAGATACAGTATATAAGTTCTAAATAAGAAAAAATAAAGATGTAGGTAAATCAGTGGTTTTAAACCAGTTTTAGTTTTGTACCCCATAAGTTTTGGCAATGTCTGGAGAAATATTTGATTGCCACAAATTGAGAGGAAGGTGTTCTAGTTATTGTAGCTTTATGAAAACCTTGAAAGCTGGTAGTATTAAGTACTCCAATTTTCTTCTACTTGTCCAAAATTATTTTGGCTAAACAACTAAAAATTCTTTTAACCAACAACTGTAACACAGTTCACATAGAAAGTTCACATGAAGTATTCACAAATACTGACCATATTCTGGGCCATAAATCAATTCTTTCTAATAAATTAAATGGAAATCATACCAAGTACCCTCCCTTACCAAAACAGAAGAAATACAGAAAGCAATAACTGAAAGTTCATGAAAAGTGTTCAAATATTTAAAAATTAGACAACCATCTTCTAAATAACCCATTAATAAAAGCAAGGAAATTAGAAAATATTTTAAAGTAAATAAAAATAAAAACACAACATATCAAAATTTGTGCATTGCACCTAAGCAGTGCTTAGAGGAAAATTATAAGCTTTAAATGCTTATCACTTTATCACGAAACTTCCAATAAACTTTCCTTCACATAGATGCCTTGGGAGATTGACCCTGTGGGAGAAATGTGGGAAAGGAAACTGAAAAATTTCAGAGAAAGAGAAGAAAAGTTGCAAGAAAGATCAGACATTAATCAGATATAGGAAAGAGAAGAAAAAAGCTATTAGGAGTTATGCATGAAATTTACCACCAGCAATCCCATTTCTTATACCTTTTCCCATATTAACCATGGCTGTTTCAATCGCAAATATAAAACACAGATTAACTTAAAAGAAAACACGGATTTGGTAGTTTACGCAAGCCAAAAAGAAAAATACTACAGCTCTTTGTTCTACAAAATTCTGTTCTTTTATTGGTTGTAGCACGTTTACTTATCTTTCTGCCAAACTTGCAATGGCAAAAATGCTCTAAATAAACCTAATGCAACTATATCTCTTGTTCTATGAGTGAACAAACCAGTTTACTCATAGAACAAAAACAGCAACAACAAAAAGAAACCAAAACCAAAACCAGTGTTAAATTCATCTACTGCATTCATTCCAAGTCCAGGTTTCCTCATGGATTTCATATTTAATTGTTTTGGGGTGTGACTCTTCTTAATGTCCCAACTTATGATCTAAATAGTCATTCTCTAGTTATGACCCTGTTTATAATGGTGAAAGGCAAACAAGATAGCCATTATGAAAATTCCCACTTTGAAAATAAGAAAAGGAAATAGAACATACTATGATCTCTTATCTACATACTCTTATTTCCTGGATATTAAGAATAGATTTCTTCAGAGCTTAAGTAGGTTTCTTGTTCTGCTGATGTGACTGAACCATATTTTCATACTTTAAGCACTGGGTACATTGACTGCCTATTTTCCTCCATCCCTGGTGCTGAGAAAGGGGAGAAATCCCTTATTGGGAGCTGGACCAGTTTGCCATCCACTTTCTGTTGTAATTATGGGGATCTTGGTATCGACTTAGAAATTGAGCAGTAGATAGGTTCCTATTTATACGCTTTGGATTTATCTGGAAAACAAACCAAACCTTCTAAAGTAATGCTTGTTAGTTGCTTTTCAATTCTTCCTAAGTGACCGTGAGGAAGTAAAAAGAAAAAAAGTTTGAAATTAAGTCAAATTGTAGCAATGTTCAAGTTAGACTTGAAAATTGAAGATTCTGTCTCTTCCTCCCTCCTTAAATCACTTACTAATGGCATTTCTCTAGACTTTTGTATTGAAACAAAAGGAAATAATAGACTGTTCTGGTAAACACAGATGATCTGTCCACAGGCACCCAGACTTCATTACTCACAATTCCAAGGAAAATCTATCCTTGAAAAAATGCTTGGGAGGGATCAGGGAATTCAGAATGTACTTTTCTTACTCTTAGCTCCTCATTCATTGCCCATTCCCATTATATAACATGATTTTGTGATTCATTGCCCGTTCTCATTATGTAGTGTTATTTAATGTGATTTTGAAATTTGGGCCATTTGCAATTTGGCAGGGTGCCTGTTTGATTCTGTATGGTCCTGGGTTATTTGCAATAGGCAGATAATTCAACTTATATTTCCTTTCTAAGAGACTAACTTGATATAATCCTAACTCATTGAAGTCTGCAAAAAGTAACCCAAAATATTCCAAAAGTTGGACAGTTTTCCTCCAAAACTACAAATTTAAAAAGACACGAGATGTAAGAAATAGCAGACAGTAATTTAAGCATCTGCATGGCTACGAGACACAGAGTGGGACTTTCAGTCAATAAATATTTCAGTGACTCAATAGTTCCTTCACCTAGGTCCTTGTATTTTGAGCTACCTTTACATTTGATCATCTATGTTAACTTTAAATTTTGATTTAATTCATTACAATCTCCTCCTCCACAGTTTGAATGTAAGACATGCTATTTGGTGGATATTGGTGTGCTTACTGCCAAGGCAGCTCCAGCTAGGACTGTAGCCAGGGCATGCTGCTTGTGCCTGCAGCTTCTGCTATGAACTGAAGGGGCAGAAGGGATGGAGGATGGGGATGATGGCAGTCAAGAGGAGAGAAATAGAGGGCACCTGCTCTGGGAATACATTTAAAAGCATTCCTGCTGGGATTAAGGATATGCTAAAGACAAGCAGCCAAATGTGTTCATAAAGGCACTTACTAGGGGAGCTGGCAGCTCTATTTTGTCAACAGGCTAGAAATCAGAATCCTAAAATAAAGGTTGTAGAAAATAGGGGGTGGAAGTAGAGACTTTTGATCCTCCTGGTAATCACTCACTCCACTCACTGTGAAAGAAAGGGGGAGATGCCCTCTCATTATGACTGAGACGGAAAGTTCATGGGGCTACTCACCTTCATATGCTGTTTTGTTAAAAGGTGTTGAACATGAGGGTGTATTCTCTCATCGGAGATTTATGTTCGTACATACTCCTCTTGGATTTTCCTGCCAGGAAAATTATAATTGCCAGAGAGCAATTAGGATGCTTTTGGACTCAGCTGTATATGAATGACATACATTACTCTCTTAAATAACTATTTTATAAAATGCTAACTTACGAATACTTTCTGTTATAAAAATGGGATGGTTCTCACTAATTATTCCATCACTTCACTGATACCTCAGCATAAACTGATGGCCTGCAATTGATTCTGCTTAGGAGAAAGTACAAAGGAAGAAACAAGTGCTATAATCAGAGATGATTTACAAAAAAGTTGACAACTTTTTAACTGCATAATTTTTCCTAGACTGTAAAATACGGTGAGCATCCATAATTGGCAGCCTACCTACATCATTGTACTGATAGCTTAGCATTAATATTGTATCAAAATATAAAAGAAAATAATTCTTCAGTTTCTGCTGCAAAACTTTTCTAGTGAGAGACACTGTGCAAATGGATAATGGCCAGACCATATATAAGAACAGAACTTGCAACCTGCTGCAACCTGCCCAGGAAACCAATCCCTTATCTATAGCAACCAGCCTAGGAGGCCAGCCCGCTCCAAGTAAGACATGTAGGAAGTCAGACTGGTATCTCTACCAACATTCCAGGTAGCCAAACAATAACTCCTATAATAATTGCCCTAAAGTGGCCAGGACTTGATTAATAACTGACAGCTTCCCTAACTTTTGTCTCTGCTTCTAACTTAGGACCAACTGGAGAAAGCAAGGATGTACTCCTAGTCAATCACAAGGTGTCCCACTTGTAGTTAATGTGCTTACAGTTTCTCCATGCCAACAGCCTCCAATGAGAGTACACCTGAAGCCCTCTTATTATTATTTTTTCCGCCAATATAAAGCTTTCATATTCTCTCTGCCAAACTTTGAGTCTCTGCCAAAACACAAGTGGTGGTGGCTGATTCCCCTGCTGCAGTAAGCTCTAATAAATATCCTTTGCTTGTTCGCATTTGGTTGGTCTTCATTTACTTCCACACTGGAATATCATGGGACCACTTTATGGGAAGCAGTTTAACAAAATGAACATAAAAGTCTCTTCAAGGCAGTGACAAAGATTTGCATTCTCTCTCTGCTTCTTTCTCAATTGGACAGACTTACCTTTCAATTCAACACAAAGTAACATGCATTCTATTCTTGTAAAGCCCATTTGTTAAGCTTTCATTTCATATCAAAGCTGTATGTATGCTCTGATACTCAAATCTTTAATTCATTCTGCCTTTGTTCAATCTGTTTACCTCCACTTATTTAGTGTTTTTAAATTTTCATTTTAAGCACTATGGTTTCCATTTTCTTGAATTCCACTTGGTTTCTTGTCATGCCTATCCTTGATTCTCACCTGCTGATATTCCTTGTCTGTTGTATGGATTTCATTTTATCGATGCTCATATCTACTCTACATCTTCGTGGATTTTAAACTTGTATTTTAATGCAGTTTCAGATTGGTGTATTATTTCTAATTCTTTGGGTGTACATTCTTCCATCTTTCAGGTTTACTGAATGAGTGTATTAGTATTAGGTTTCTTTATTCATTGTGGGAATGGGATTTTAGAGACCATTTCTTCAGATAACTTTTATTTTCATCTCTTTTCTCCCTCTTGTTCTGTGGGTTCATGATTATCTCATTCAAATATAGACAGATTTCAAAGATATGTCTTATATTAGTAGCTCAGACCTTCACTCCATCATAATATTCCACTATAATACCCTCAACTTCACATACACAGCAATCCACTTCTCAGTTCCCAGTTACTACTTTCCGCCAAGAATACACTGAGTAAGTAGTTAGTAGTTTTCCTATATTCATTGATGAGAGTGTAGGGGACTTTACACTTTCCCTCTGTTGTCTGAAGGTTTGATAATTTGAGTCTCTGGAATAACTATAACAGAAGACAGATTAACAAGAGAAAAGGATGACAAATGTGTTACATGCATAGTAGTCCCACAAAATATGAGACTCAAAGACCAAATAGTTAAAAGCTTGAATAGCATTTTGAGCTGCAGAAAGAAATACGGGCTTCTCAGCAGGAGGAGGTGACAAAAGCTATGGGAGTATGAGGGGAGGAACTACACTGGGAAGTTTTATGCAGATGAAGTCTTTTCTAAATAACAACCCTCAGAAGAATCAGGTAAAAAAAGTCTAGCTGGGCATGGTGGCTCACACCTGTAATTGCAGCACTTTGAGAGGCCAAGGCGGTTGGATCACCTGAGGTCAGGAGTTCGAGACCAGCCTGTCCAACATGTAGTGAAACTCTGTCTCTACTAACAAATACAAAAATTAGCTGGGCGTGGTGGTATGCACCTGGAATCCCAGCTACTTGGGAGGCTGAGGCAGGAGAATCACTTGAACCTGGGAGGCAAAAGTTGCAGTGAGCTGAGATCATGCTATTGCACTCCAGCCTGGGGGAGAGAGCAAGGCTCTGTCTCTCAGAGAAAAAAAAAAAAAAAAAAAGGTCTGCATGGGCATGGTATCCTGGGCATGGATGGAGATCTTGGTCTCTTATCTTGCTATCTGAGTTAATCTTCTTCACTTAATGTAGATTCAAGAAAGGACTTGACAACAATTTGCATTTAATCAGATAAGGGAAACGTCAGAGAAAACTCCTCCTGTATCTGGGAGAGAAATAGGATTGACAGAAAGGGGAGTGGGGCAAGGTTGGAGAGACCTTGGTTCTGAAGCTACTTTTGTAGTTCAAAGTACTCAGCCTGTGAAAGTGCCCTACTTTGAAGTGTCCTGAGCCCCAATATGAGGGTGAGAAGGATCCTAATTCCTAGCTTTATATAGGGGACTTGGTTCTAGTCCCTTATCTCATGTGGAGTGTAATCAGTTTCATTTTCACACAGGAGCAAATGCTGGGCTTCACTACTGATTGTGATCCTGAAATTCTTCTGTTACAGCCTTACCACGTAAGTCACTAGTCACCTCTTAGTTTCCTATTCTATTTCTGATCTAAAGAGTTTCTTCTTTGCATTAGAATGTGTTTTTATATTTTAATATATTTTATTTATAATATTTTTGTTTAGTATAGATAAAAGTGGTCACTGTTGGGTGCGGGGCTCACACCTGTAATCCCAACACTTTGGGAGGCCAAGGCAGGCGGATCACAAGGTCAGGAGATAGAGACCATCCTGGCTCCCACGGTGAAACCCCGTCTCCACTAAAAATACAAAAAATTAGCTGGGCGTGGTGTTGGGCACCTGTAGTTCCAGCTACTTGGTAAGCTGAGTCAGGAGAATGGCATGAACCTGAGAGGCAGAGCTTGCAGTGATCAGAGATCGCACCACTGCACTCTAGCCTGGGCGACAGTGCGAGACTCCATCTTAAATAAATAAATAAATAGTGACAATCTGCCTGCCATATTAATAAACGGTTCTTTGTCAGTCTGTTTTTTTCCTGGATGCCAGTCAGCATGATTTTAGCAGTGCTTTTTATCTTAAGATAATTTCTTCTGAGTAGAAAATTATTTCAGAGTAATTTTATTTAGTTAAAAATACATACTTTCTGTGTACTGCTTTCTGGCTGCCAAGTGTATCTTGGTTAAGACAATAGGCTTTGAAGTCAGGTTTAGGTTTGAGTCCCTGGTTTTACCTCTTACTAATGATCTGAGATTTGACAGATTAATTAGAGTTTTTCAAGCCTCAGTTTCCCCAGATATAATGTGGAAATGATGAAACACCTTTATAATAGGATTAGAAGAACTGTATAACAAATAAATAGGACTTTACCTGGTGCCTAACACACCGCAACCCACACAATACATGTGTTTTTGTGCCACTTCTACTCCTTTATCTATTATTGTTATATTCATGCTAACACCAAATGTTTCCATTCTATCTTTTCGTTTCTTTTTTCAAACAATTGGTCTTTCAATCTCCCACTCTGTTGTTTTTTTATTAGTATTTTTTGGCTATTAGTTTGGTAATTTTAATCTGGCTATGAACATTGGGACATTCAAAGCTTCACCTCATATTTCAACAGCTTTTTTATTCTTTGAAAGGAAAAAGGACTAATAATTTAGCACACAATAATGGTTTTTGTAAACAAAGGACATTTAATCATAGACCAAGATATATTTTTGTCATAGGGGACATACATCATAGAAATAAATATTGGTATGTAAATATGTCTCATTATTAATAGTCCATGGAAGGCCATAGTTCACAGAATAGTATACTCCCAATGCCAGATACCCAATGGAGCTTGATAAATGTTATTGCTGTAGTCTTCTCGGAGATTTTGATTTAATTTGGTGATCAAATAGATTAAATGAGTAATTAATGAAAATAAGTAATATTCCTAGGGATGGAAAGACAGCAGTAGTAAAGATTAGATGTTAGTTTTAATCTCGAACTGATAAAATTATGATCTCTGAGGAATATTTGGTTTGCTATTCAAGTGCAGAGTTATTGTAGGGTTGGCGTTTGCATTCTGATTTCATTATGAAAAATAATACTTGTAATTAAATGCCATAATACTCCTTATGAAGGACAACTGTTAATGCCTATGGCTCTAATAGTATCTGGTCATAACACAATCTTACGAAATCCAGCAAAATCACATTATTTTACAAAAATGCTATAAAGTAAAGCATATAGACACATACAGTCTATACTTTAGGTCATGTCTTATTATTTTGCTTCCAAATTAGCTTGGGGGAGATATTATATTTTATTTGGCATTTCAAGAGCAGTCACCGTTTGTCAAGCTTTTCATCTTATAGTGAATTCTGTTATTACTCTGTACTAATAATGATATATTCCTTTTCATCATGAGATATTTACTCAGAGGAAAGAATGTGTCACTACACATTTTATTACAAAACATACAAACTGTATGATTTTGCATTTAGATTTATAAAGGTGGAGAGAAAGTACATTTAGAAACATATATTTGATAAGTTATACAACATTTGATTGTATGTACCTGTGGCTGTTTAAAAGCTTAATTTTAATAGCTCTACTTTATTACAGTGAGCAAGATATATGTAAGCCAAAT